GTGGTGGGGGGAAGGGGCTGGGAATCACCTAGGGGGGCCGAATCCTGACTTTAGCCTGTGCTTGGGGACCAAGAATGGCCTCCCCTTTGCAGACTGAAAGAGAGGAGGCTATGGTATCTGACTCACTGGTTCCTGTAAGAACACTTGGCACCTGTGGCCCCACGTGGGCTGTCAGCAAGTGGGAACACGTTCCCCGGAGCCCCTCTGCACTGCCTTTTCCCTGCTTTCCCTCTCTGTTCTGACAGATGTTCCTTCAAAGCCACAGAAGGGGAGTAGGAGGAGAGGGCAGGCAGAGAGGAGGCCATGTAGGCTGCTCCACCGAAATCTAGGAACTCGTGGGGAGGGGAAATTCCTTGGCAGAGGGTCCTGTATGTCCGGGGACTGTCCAAGCCTCAGCACTCAGCCTGAGATGGGGAAACTAAGACTCAGGAAAGGGAGGGTCTGCCCCATTCTACACATGTGCAGACACCTGGTTCTCTTCCAAGAGCTGAAACCTGGCCGGGAGCCTTCAGGGTAAATTGGATCATGTCCCTCCCTCTCTGGTTCCACACTGCCCTTGGAATGAAACCCACATACCTCACCCCTGTCCATGCGGTCCCACATGGCTCCATGACCCCTTCGCCATCAGGGCCCCTTACTGTCTTCCTGCTTACTCTGCTCTGGCTCCCCTGGCCTCTCTGTTATTCCTCCAGCACACCCAGCCCATCCCCACCTCAGGACCTTTGTACAAGCTGTGCCCGTGTGCAGAGCACTCTTTGTGAGTTATTAGCCCCATCTGATCCCTCAGGAAAGGTGCAAAGAGAGGAGGTTACAGGCCTAGGAATACACGTCAAATTGGTGGTGGTCAGGATAAGGACCCAGGCCTTTCTGACTACCCTCCTAACACCTCTCCCACCAGTGATTGCATTAAACCTGGTCCCCAGACCAGTCCACTGTGTAGCTCAATGATTTTCAACCCCTCCAGGTCTTGTTGCCGCCAGCTGGGTGCCAAAGATCCTGAGGCCTTGGGCTCAAATCCCCTGCTTAGAGAGTTTCTGGGTCAACCTTACCCCTAATCTCCCAGTGTCCCTCCTGATGTGGCCATGATTTTTCTGCCCCACTTTCTGCCCTTCACTCAGAAGGATGGCGGGGCTTCAAGGACAACACGGCCAAAAATAATCAGTCCCGACCTACCTCCCAAAAGTGGGGCAGCCCCGCCCAGCCACCTGGCACTGTGGAGGTAATTAGTGCATGTGGCAAATGAGGGTAATTAGGTCTGTGGCAACGGAACCGCAGATCCAGGTTTGGAGTTGGGAGGCTTCTCCAGTGCTGTCTCCCCTGATGCCACCAACAACCCAGCCCGGCCCGGGGAGCTCAAGTCCATAACCCAGGGCCAAACCTCCTATCCCCAGTCCCTTCAGGCCTGGGCAGGAGGAGCCTGACTCCATTACTTTCTGAGGACTGCTTGCTTTATGAATTAACTTGGGCCTTGGGCAGAAGTTGAATTGGATCTGAATTTAAGGCAGGGTCACTTTTAAGTGATGAAAAATTACCAATATTGAGTCATCAAATTGTCCTCTGCCATGACCCCCATGCTTCCATCCCATGCTGAGAGATACCAAATCCAAGGGAAGCCTCAGCCCAGCCCTTGAGAGGCCTCAGGCTGGGAGCTGGACACAGACACCCCTACGTGCTTGAGCTCAGGGTTGGATGAGAGGTAGGGAGAGTATTGGGGAGGGTCTAGAAGGACAGGTGGGAGGGCTTCACAGAGAAGAGGGCATTGGAAGTAGGGTTTTGAGGGATGAATAGAAGTTTTCCAGGAGGCTAAGGTCTGGTGGCTGGCTCAACTTGCCCTGGCTGGGGGATTGGGGAAAAGAGGAGAGTGGATGGAGTAACATATAAAGGGTCCAGAGCTAAAGATTTAGAAGTTATGTCAAGTTGGACCTGTATCTATCCTTGAGAGCTCATGCGTAGTTGGAACCCTTCAACCCCTGAGGGAGAAAATCTTAACTTGACTCAGGACCAAAACCACATGTCCAGACAGCCAAGAAGAAATATAATGTTTATGACAGCAGTGCTTATTAAACTCCTAGGGTCAAGCACTCTTCATGCAAGGACTTGTTGGCTCCTTACAGGGGAAATGTCAGAAGTGGGCACCATTCTTTTTTCTTTCCCTTTTTTTTTTAGAAGTGGGCACCATTCTTATTCCCATTTTATAGACAAGAAAATGAATACACAAAAAGGGAAAGTGGCTTCTTTAAGGTCACACTGCTAGTAAAAGGGCAGGGCTGGGATTCACTCCCTGCCTCATGGCTCTGGAGGCCACCAAAGATGAAGGATGGGGCTTGAGCATCTTCTCCTTCTGGAAGCATTTATATATATGCTGAAGGTCAGGCTTGCTCTAGGTGCTGGGAGAGAGCCATGGAAGAGGTTGACAGTCACCAAATAATGTCATAAACAAATCTAAGTGGCCACTGTGATCCATGCTGCAAGGCTGGGCTTCGGGGGAGAGTGAACTGGAGGGACAGGGACCCTCCTGGGAGGAGAGAAAGTTCAACGTCAGTACAAAAGTTGGGTAAGATTTAACTAGGCAGAGGCCAGAGCCTGACCCGTAAGAGCCAGTCTGCAAATCTGCTTCCCTAGAGCCAAACAAGCTGTTCTGGTCTCTGCTTGTTCCTCCTATGACAGGAAGCTCATTCGTTTATGCCCTTTCTCAAACCCAAGAGAAAGCTCTTGCTTCTAATCAGCTACCCTGGGGTGGTGGCCTCTGTCTACCTTACAAGGACATCCCAAGGCAGGAAAGGGCTCAGACTGGGGTGGGGGCAGCAGCTCAGGGCAGCCCCCCACCCGTCTATACCCAGGAAGCAGTGAGGAGTGCCTCATCCCCCCTACCCCCTCCCTCCAACCCCAGCCCTGCAAGCATCAGCCCATTCTCCAGGCAAGAACACTGAGGTGCATGCTGACAAAGCCACTTCCTCAGTTTGGACTTTACTAGGACAACTTCAGGTTAGGGCTGCCCAAGGCCAGCCTCATCCCAGTCCCTCCTGGATACCTGAGGGTGGGTCCAGGGGTGAGATTCAACCCTCCACTCTCTCTCATGCTTTGTCTTCTACCCACACAAACAGCAAAGTCTGCCTGGGCCCCCGCTGGGCCACCCCAACGGAATGGCCACATGGCCCTAGCTCTGTAGCCAGGGGACACTCAGCACACCCGGAGCGGCTTCCAGAAGACTCGGCCCTGCAGGCCTTTTCCAGTTACTTCATTTTTTTAAATTATTTTTTCACTAATAAGGAAAAGTCACTCTTTGCACAGAACAGACGGTATTTTCTTTGTTCCCTACAGTGTTCAAATGTTCTGTGGCTTTGGGCCTGAGAGCAAAGCCAAATCCTTTGCTTGTGCAGATGACTTGTGGAGTTAGAAGCAGCTGGGAAACTAAGTCTATGCCTCAGTTTCTCCGGCGAGGGTGAGCAGCACCTCTTGTGCTGGGTGAGGCTGACGCCCCAGGATGGGCCAGCCTCCAGGAGCACACAGACCTGGCTGTGAGCAAAGTAATAAGCAGGTAATGCAGACCAGAGCGACCACAGAAAGCGACAGGGCGAGGGCCAGGGGCACAAGATCCCTTCCAAGCCCAGGAGAGTCAGAGAAGCTTCCAGGAGGGGACGGGGCAATGGAGCTGGGTGTGGAAGGACAAGGAAGAATATATGTCTAAAGAAAGGGCATTCCATGGGGAGAGAGCAGTTTAGGCAAAGGCCTGGAGGGAGGTAAACTCAGATCTTGGTCTGGGAAGAGATCTCCAGAAAAAGCATGATCTGGAATTCCCCTACAGGTAATCCAAAGGTAGCTACTAGCTCAGATGTGTGATTCTTGTCAAGGGGAAACAGAAATAAAAGAACAGGAAAGATGAAAAGCAAAAACCTTCAAGGCTTCAGAAAGCTCCTATGGGAGGCTCCAGGCTTCAAGGAATGGCAGGTGTTGGTTCTGAGGAGCCCCACGGCACTGGGTGACTTTGGAGGACTTTCCGGAGGAAGCAGCCACAGGATTGATGAGTGCCCCTCACCCATGCAGGCTGAGGCCTGGGAGGCCAATCCTGGCTCAGCTCCAAAAGGACCCTCTCCTGCCAAGTCCACGAAGGTCCCTCTGACCCTGGAACCCAGGCCTGAGGACCTGCAGAGGACTCAGCCATTTGGTGGGAACTGGACCTGGGCATTCCCTCCGCCCTGGATTCTGGGACCCTATGACACAGTGGTCATCATTGCAGCTCACTCATTGCTGGTATTGTCACTGTCGTCTCATGGGAGACAAGGTGGACAGAAGCCCTCAACCCAGGGATCAGGGCAAGAAATATTCTGTACAGGGCACCCCAGGTCAAGCCCCATGAAGTGCCTACTCTTTGCCATTTTGTCAACCTCTTCCAGCTCTTTCCCTGCCGTGGTGTCTTTCATTTCCTGGTGACACCCACAAACACCTACTGTGTGCAGGCACCCACCCTGGTGGGAGAGGTGGCCCTGTCCCTGGAATCCCAACACATGGAGAGGGACCTGACAGCCATCATAGGCAGAAGGGCATGACCTCAGGCGACCTGGTGGGTGACGGCAGGGTGAGGCCACATTCTCCATCTATCTGTTAATCTGCTGTGTCTCTGCCTCTCTCCCCCTACCCCCATCACTCCGGCCCCCTCCCTCAGCCTCCTCCCCCATTCCCCCCTCCGTGGAGGACCGGCAGGGGGCGCTGCGGAGCGGCTTCCGCGGCCCCGGGAGGCGGGGCGGGCGGCGGCCGCGTCGGGACCGGCCGAGATGGGTCCGGAGGCGGCGCGGGCGGCGGCGGCGGCGGCGCAGACAAAGGCGCAGGCTACGCGGAGGGCGGCGCGGAGGGCGCGGGCCCCGGAGCCAGCGAGCGAGTGGGGCGCCCTGCTGCGAGGAGTCGGCGCCGCGGGGTCGCACCCGTCTCGCGCCCGGACACTTGCGGGCCGCCGAGCGCGCAGGGTGAGCCCGGACCGCCGAGCCTGCGCCGGGGTAGCGGGGGCCCCCAAGTTCCAGGGCCGGGGCGCGGGCGTCCCCGAAGTTCCGGACACGGAGGCAGGGGGCGCCTCGGTGAACCCCGAAGTTGCGGGGTTAGAGAGGGGACTGGGCGAGAGCTTCCCAAACTTCCGGACGCTGCGTTAGAGGAGCCTGCGAAGGTGTCTCCCAAGTTCCGGACGTGGGGTGGGGTGCAACGTGAGGGGACCCCCAAATTCCGGACCTGGGGCTGGAGGAGTGGCCCGGGGATGGAGGGGTCACCGAAGTTCAGGAGTCTGGGCGGCGTGGGGATCCCTGAAGTTCTGGACATGGGGTTGGAGGAGGCAGACAATGTGTCCCTGAAATTCTGAACCCGGAGTTGGGGGCCGTCGCGGGGATCTCGGAATTTCCAGGGTCCAGGGTGGCACTTCCCGAAGTTGGGGAGCATACGCTCCCCGCTCCTGACGCGGGTGGGGACTCCATCCTGATTGAATATCAGCGCGTCCGGACTGGGGATCACGGGGTGGGCCTTTGCCCCAATACGAACTGGGAATCCCGGGACTCAGGCGGGGTTGGGCCCCCCCCCTCCGGGAGCCCCGCGATCCGCGGCGTCGGAGACGAATGACTAATTGGTGAGTAACTTTCCCCAAATGCAGCAAGTTGCGGCAGGAGCGTCCAGGCCAGAAGGGCCTGGCTCCTGGGACCCCTGAGCCCAGGAGACCTGCCCCGACCCCGGACCACCTCCCAGCCCCGGCCGGAGTGGCCGCCCCTCCCCCACCCAGGGGCTCCGGTTTCAGACCCTGTGACCAGGGCAACAGCTGCCCAGGACAGAGTGGGGGGGGCATTCCCCCTCTGACCAGAGGCCACTCCGCGGGGCCTCCCCACCCCCACTTTGCCACCCCCTTCCCCGGGTCCCTCCTGGGTTCCCTGCAGATCCCCTGGACGCAGGTTTGGGGGTGCAGAGGTGAGGGTCAGGAATCCAGCTGTGTCTGGTTTCTGTGGGTGGTGGGAGAGGCTGGGGAGCCCTGCCTCCCAGTCCCAGGTCCTGGCCAGCCACTCCTGCTCCTGGACTTAGGTGGTGATGGGTGGTCTGGTAGCGGGTACCAGGGCAGACCTATTTGGCTGCATGTTGTCTCCTTAACTAGGCTGGTGGCTCCCTGGGGGTTTGGACTCTGACTCCGAGCTGTGCCTGTACCCTGGAGTAGAAGCTGAGGGGTCCCTCGGTGGGTCCAGTGGAGGCCTAGTCTCCCAGGAGGCACCTGGTGATGTCCCACTCTTTGATGGGGGCCCTGGTCTAGGGAAGTGATGAACGAATGTGGCAGAAAGGACTGAGCAGGGGTTGGTCCTTACGCCCCAGCCCCAGGTTTGAGGGGCCTTCACAGGGGTCCAGTAACTGGGATGATGAGAGGTTTTTGCTGGGGTGTTAGGGCCACTTGACTCCTCTCAGATGGAGAGAGACAGTCTTTCTGCTGAGCCCGTCACCTTTTTGATTGAGGTTTTGTGAGTTATGTGCTTGGTGGCTGGTCCTGAGGTTGGACCCACTTAGCTTCCCTCAGCCTGTCCGGGGGAAACACTCACAAGCGCCCTCTCCACCAGAGCCTGAACCATCAGCTCCCACAATCCCACTGGCTGCCCCTTGGAGCCCAACCACCCCAGCCGACCAATGTCCACAGCCAGGTGAGCACCTGCCCCCACTGCCCCGGCCCTGAGTCTCCTGGGGCTCAGCCCCACTTGAGCACACTCTCATCTTGCAGGGAGCAGCCCATCTTCAGCACACGCGCACATGTGTTCCAGATTGACCCCGCCACCAAGCGGAACTGGATACCTGCGGGCAAGCATGCACTCACTGTCTCCTACTTCTATGATGCCACCCGCAATGTCTACCGCATCATCAGCCTCGGGGGTGCCAAGGTCCTGGCGGGGCCTGGGAGGGGCAGCAGGCACCAGGGATCCCAGCAACAGGCCTTGCTGTGTGTCCCAGGGCTGGGGGTAGAGGGGAGCCCTGAGTCTTTCTGGGCCTCTGTCTTCTTTTTGAAATAGCTCAGACCAAGGACCTCTGAGGCACTAATACAAGGTGATAGCCCTGCGGGCTTCATATTCTTTATTACCAGACCCATCAACCTTGTACTTTGCTCCCTACCTCCCAGGCCATCATCAATAGCACCGTCACCCCCAACATGACCTTTACCAAAACCTCGCAGAAGTTCGGGCAGTGGGCAGACAGTCGCGCCAACACTGTCTATGGTCTTGGCTTTGCTTCAGAGCAGCATCTGACCCAGGTGGGCCTGCAGGGTTATGTGGTGAGAGGGATAGGGCTGGGCCTGAGTCATCCCCTGGGTACACCAGGGCCCCTGGGCAGGTAGGTGCCAGGCCTCCATCTTCCCAGCTGCAGAATGGGTATACAGAATTGGACATGACACAGCCTCTTCCTGGTTCTGTGATTTGCATCTCGACTTTTTGGCCACAATTTTGGACACACCCTGTCCCGCTTTGGATGCCTGGCATGGGCTAGCCTCTTCCACACATACCCAAAAGCACTTATCTCCATAGTCACCTCCCTCCAACCTCTGCCGTCTGTACACTTCAATATTGTCTTCTCCCATGTTGCGTTGAATTGTTAGTGCTCCCGCAATCCTGCTGTGATGGTGACGATTTTCTTTTAGAAACTTTAGTTTCCCTATCAAATTGAGGTCTTGAATTAATTTCTGTGAGTAGTATAAGGTAGTATATTTTTTTCCCCATAAGCATTCAGTTGCTCTTGGACTATTTTTTGAAAAGACCATTTTCCCCCAACTGTTGTACCGGCCCCTTTGCACACATCAAATAGCACGGTCTGTAAAGATTTTCTTTTAAACATTATTTTCAAACTAAGGAAATTTGTTTTTAAATGAAAGAAAGTGTGCCCTACCCTAACTGGAAACCTGGAGTGAGTGGTAAATGTAAACATTTGTACCATAAGAACAGGGTGATTTACTTTCTTATTGGCTGTGGGTGTTTCTCAGAGGCTCTCAGCCCAAGATCTAGTTTCTCTTTTTTATAAAAGGATATTCACAAATGTCCTAGGTATTAAAGACAGCACCCACCTGAATCGCTCCTTGCTGAAATAAGCCTGATTGAGAGGAAAAGGGGATCCTTATCTCAAGATGGCTCAGTGTAATATAAGATACCTCCATGAACATCCCACCCTCTACCCTGATACCCACTCTGCTCACTGGGGCATCATTTTCCAAGCCTTTGCTGTCTTCCAGTTCACGAGGATGTACGTGCACAGCTTCCAAATTCCCTTCCAAAGCGACAGAGCTGGTGCTGGGCGGGGGTGACTCGGTGGGGCCCTGGGGTAGGGGGCTGAGGGTTTGTTGGTGGTCTGTTCCTGACCCCCACCCTGTCCTCAGTTTGCCGAGAAGTTCCAGGAAGTGAAGGAAGCAGCACGGCTGGCCCGGGAGAAATCTCAGGATGGCGGGGAACTCACCAGTCCAGCGCTGGGGCTCACGGCCCATCAGGTCAGCACTCCCTGTCTGATGCCTCCCGGGTACTCAGCCGATATTGGGGGTTCCAGGTGCAGTGCTGAGCCCAGGATAAAATGCCCATGGGTGACATAAAACCAGACCCGTGGCAGGGACCCAGTGGAGGGCTGGGGCTGCTATGGGAGCATGTCATATAGGGTCTCTGTCCTAGCCTTGGGGCAGGGAAGTCCTGAAAACCAGCTCAGATGTCAGAGTAGAACCCTGGAAGTTGAAATGTCTAAGTAAGGGAGCAGGATAAAGAACCATCCTTGGGTGGTTTCCCTATTAATTTATTCAGCATAATTTATTGACCACTTGCTGTGTACCAGGCCCTGAGCTGGGCACAAGTGTTACAGAGATGATCCGGTGATTGGGGCAGCGAGGTGGTTTCATAAGGAATTCAGCCTGCTAGAGAGGGCTTCCCGTGGGAATCTTAAATTAATGTTGAAATTTGGCCCCAACCAGGCATTGCTGGGAGGGAATAGGAAGGGTGGTTTCAGATTGCTTCCCTTTTGCAGATGTCCAGTATCTAAGTGGGTTTAGATGAGCCTGCATCAGGTTTGCTCCTGGGGAGTTTGGGAGAGCAGTCAGGCAGGTGGGGGCAAGGGCCTGGAACTCCGGACCAGGGTCTTGGGGAACCATGGAGGGTAGGTGAGCAGGGGAGAGACGTGCTGCTGTTGGGAAGGACCCCTGCCCTCAATCACGACCCCAGTAATATCAGCCCTGACCCCAGCGATGACTTCACCGATTCCTGACTGAAGCCACTCCCCAGGGTGACCCCGCTTATGCCCCTGCCCGTAGGTGCCCCCGAGCCCCCACGTCAGCGCCAACGGCCCCGGCGATGAGAAACTGTTCCGCAGCCAGAGCGCGGACGTCCCGGGTCCCGCAGAGCGCGAGCGGCTCAAGAAGATGCTGTCCGAGGGGTGAGGGGAGTGTAGGGCGGGGCATGGGACGTAGCCGAAGGGCGGGAGGACGGGCGGCGGGCTCTGACTGTGGACTCCTGGCCTGGGGAAGTGAAGGCGACTGACCTCTTCCTGCCCCTTCCGGAGTCGACCCAGTCCCTCGGGCGGGCTCCCTTGGCCACGCCTTCCCGAGGCTGACCCCGCCCCTGTGTCTGGCTCTCGCTTTGATTACGCATTCCCGAGGTTGGCCCCGTCCCCGGTCGCTCTCTAGCTTGCATCCCTAGCTGTTCATCTCTAGCTCTCTTGCATCCCGACTGTCCCTGAGTGATAACATGCGGCTGGCTAACCCCGCCCGCCCAGACCCCGCCCCCCTGGGACACCACCCTCCAACCCCGCGCTAACCTGGCCCCGCCCCGCCTCAGCGCCGCTCAGCTCTGACCCCTGATCTCGACCCCGCGTCCCCACAGCTCCGTGGGCGAGGTGCAGTGGGAGGCCGAGTTCTTCGCGTTGCAGGACAGCAACAGCAAGTTGGCAGGCGCCCTGCGAGAGGCCAACGCCGCCGCCGCCCAGTGGAGGCAGCAGCTGGAGGCCCAGCGCGCAGAGGCCGAACGGCTGCGGCAGCGGGTGAGGGACCCCGTCCTCCCAGAGACCCCAAGTAGAGACCCTGCGTTCGCACATCCTGTCTGTCCTTGGTTTACTGTCTTGGCCCGGCACTTCCCTGAGCCTCAGTTTCTTGCTCTGTAGGATGGATCTGAAATAATGCCAGCCTCAGTGGGTTGTCAGGCCTTAAAGTCTTACTGCTAGAGGCAGGGTGGCAGCCCCAATCAGAGGGGAGAGTTCCCAGTCATGGGTGTGACCGAGCAGGAGACAGTCTGCAGGGCTCAGGAGAGTGCAGGCTGGGGCGTCAGGGGCTGATGTTTCTGTTCACATAGGTGGCTGAGCTGGAGGCCCAGGCAGCCGCAGAAGAGCCACCCTCCGTCGGCGAAAAGGAGGGGCCAGGCCAGTCACTGGAGCAGTTGGAGGCACTAGTGCAAACCAAGGACCAGGTGAGCACCGAGCTTGGGAGCCTGCCTGCCTGCGTGTGTCCTTGGGTCTCAACTTCCCTGGGTTTCTTCTCTAGGAAATCCAGACACTGAAGAGCCAAACTGGGGGGCTCCGTGAGGCCCAAGACACAGCTGCTGCTGAGCGGGAGGAGACCCAACAGAAGGTGCAGGTGTGTGTGGTCACCATGGGTGGGGTGGCCAAGCAGGGGCAGCTAGGCCCTGGTGTGGGACAGACCTGAGCTCTTCCTTTCCTGGTGGGCCCTGGGCACCTCAGTGCCTTCCCAAGCCTCAGTTTCTTCATCTGTAAGTGGGGTCAGAAAGATACTTAGCTAAGGTGGTTAGGGATTGGGCAGACCAGGAGCCTGGAAGCCAGAATTGGAGCAGGTGGTTTGTAAAGGATGGTTGTTAATGCAGTGTTTCATATGTGTTCGTTCATTCAACAATCCATTTTTGAGTCCCTGCTGAATTCCCATACTTGACCCTATGAAGTCCAGAAGTTCCCAGCCTGAGGTCAGGAGCCAGCATTTGAACCCAGGTCTGACAGTCATGGCTTTCAGTGAAGGTTTCATCTCAGAAAAATTCATGGGGCACATCCTATGAGTCCAGCAGGTGAAGATGTTAGAGATCTGTGCCCTCTGGAGACAGCAGCTGGGGAAATACTCCCTATTGTCTCCTGGGCAGCATGCACAGCATGTGCAAAGGTCCTGAGGTGGAGAGGAAGCCAGCATGTTCAAGGAACCACAAAGAGGCAGTGAGGCTGAGTTGGAATGAGCAAGGAAAGGAGGGGTGTGTGTGGATTTCATGCCTACCCCCATCCCCATTTGGGTCACAGGAGGGTTTTGAGCAGAAGAGGGATGGTGATCAGTTCTTTCATGTTCAAACTGGCCAGGGGAACAACGGAGTGTCTTGGGCACAGGTGGTAGGAAAGAGGCCAGCAGACTGAGCAGGCGTGGCCCAGAGTAGAGTCCGTGGGACTGGCACTCAGATTCTAGATGCCCCAAGGCAGGGCTGTTGACCCATTAGACTAGTTGGGGCCCCCAATTCTGCCCACCTTCTCCCTGCAGGACCTGGAGACCCGAAACGCGGAGCTGGAGCACCAGCTGCGGGCAATGGAGCGCAACCTGGAGGAGGCACGGGTGGAGCGGGAGCGGGCACGGGCTGAGGTGGGCCGGGCCGCACAGCTACTGGATGTCAGGCTGTTCGAGCTGAGTGAACTTCGAGAGGGCTTGGCCCGACTGGCTGAGGGTGCACCCTAAGCCTGGCCATTGGGTCCACGTGGGAGCCAGTTTTATATGAATGATTCCCACATGGAGCATCAGCTGGGCCAAAGGCAACACAGAGGGCCGATTGCCCTGGCGGGGACCAGGGTCCAACTCAGCTGGGTGAGGCTTTGGCCGATCACAGCTCAGGGGCTATTTTCAGGTTTTTCATTGTGTAGAATTTCTAGACTCCCTGGGGTGTGTGCTGATGCCCAGATTACATTTCTAAGTGCGGTGAACATGTGTGTGTGTGTTTGTGTGGTGTGCAGGCATCCAGGCACCTCATCGTCATCGCTGCCTACCACAGCTGCCCCAGTTTGCATAAGTTTTGTAAACCACCTGAAGGTGAAGAGCGAGTTTCAGAACCTGAGGGGCATGTCCAGGCCATGCAGCCTGGGGCCTGGTTTTGCCCAGCACAGCTGCCCCTTAGCCCCCAGGGCCTATTTAGCTCATGGCCCCTGGCTAAGCCCCCACTTCACTCTGACCACAAACCCCATATTAGAACAGGTAGGCAGGCGAGGAAGCTCCTAGAAGCCAGCAGTGTTCCGGCTTGGCAGTTCCCTCACTCATCCCTGCTGCCGCATTTGGGCAGTGGTGCAGTTGCCATTCCCGTTTTCTGGGTGAAGAAACTGAGGTCCACGGGGGGTTCACCAACCCAGGGTCACCTGGCCAGGATGGCCAGCACTGCAGTTCAAAGTTTGGGTCTGACCTGACAGCAATGGAGAGTTAGGGGTGGGGCAGGGGTGACGTGCTCTGGAGAACTTGAGCACAGGAGGCCAAACTCTTGTCACCTGTCCCTGCACGAAGAGCCAGACCAGGGAAGTCGAAAGAGCCATTTATTGAGCACCTCCTGACAAGCTACTGTCCGCACAATGTACATGTCCACGGGCTCCACTGAGGGGGTCTGAGCAGGTCAGGCGGAGGGTGCTGCCTCTAGGGGGAACCCCTCTGACCTCAGCTCTCCTTAGGCCGGGGCACTGGGAGCCAGCTGGAGCTCAAGCCCGGCCCTAGGTGGGTGCTGGGGCCGGGTGGTCCTCACGCTGGGCCCTGGGCCGACACCCCCTGCGGCCAGCCCCACCGGCCTTCTGCCGCTGCAGAGCCTGCTCTACCTTTTCCTTGAAGCGCCAGTTCTTCTGCTTGATTTTGGCCAGCTCGGCCTTGCGCTTGGCCTCCAGGTCAGGGTCCTGGCACGGGAAAGGACCAGGAAGTGGATGAGCTGGTCATGCCCCTGGGGAACCTGTCCCCACACCTACCAGCTCAGCCCTCACCTTTCCCTCCAGGATCAGCTGCTTCCGCTTATTGATTTCCTTCTTTTCATCAAAGTTGGCTGCCTCCAGTTTCTAGGAGGGAAGGAAAGGCCATCACAGGGGTCCCCATCTTGGAGGGAGCACCCTGGCCCCCAAGGACCAGCTTCCCGATACTTACAATCTCGCACTCTCTCCGCACCACATTGACCTGTGTGAGAATCTGCAGCACCCCGTCCTCCTCCACTGAGAATTCGTCCAGCTTCTTCTCTGGGGGGGTGCAGGGGAGGGTGGACACGACAGGGAGAGGGTGTTTAGCCACACAGTGAGGTCCCTGTGGGATGGGGTATGCAAGGCCAGCCGGGGTCAAGTCAGGGAAGGGTCAGGGGGGCAAGGTCACGGATTTCAGGCCTAAGAAAGGTACAGATTGCTCCCTTTGGTTGTGTTATTAGTAGCACTATGAATTTGGAAGTATTTTTACAAACAATGAACTTTGAAGTCCAGATGTTTTTGAATTTTGGTGCAACATGTACAGTGATTGGAGATGCCCCAGTCACCATTCTTGGTCTTGGCTACATGGGAAACCACCCAGAAGGGTTTTTAATGTGCCCAGGCCTCATCCTTGGAGCCTCTGGACTCATCCACAGGGACCATCCACACACCCCAGTCTCAGAAACCAAACTCCCTTCCCACCGGATATGGCCTCCAGCTGCAGCGGGCCACTGTGGGGAGCTTGTTCTGATAACCAGACAAAAGAAACTTCGGGCCTGCATAGGAAGGAACATGCAGTTTAAGCCTGACCATGTGAGCAGGTGGGTAGGTGTCTAATGGGGCAAATGAGGGTTTCACCCAGAGCTGCCTGCCTCCCCCATCCCCTCCCACCCTGCCACTCACTGATCTGCTCCTCGATGGCATGTACCAGGTGGATGTCATACTGCGTCACCAGTGTGATGGCCTGTCCTTGGCGCCCTGCGGAAAGCACACCACAGTTACCTGCTCTGTCAGGGGCTGGGATGAGGGGCCAACAAAGGCAGGTCCTGACCGTAGGCAGCTCAGGGCACCTCTTGATTTGGGGTACAGGACAAAAGCTTAGTGAATGGGTGGTGGCAGGTGGAGGCCCAGGGCATAGGGGCCTGATCTCCAGCTGGACCCCCATGTGGTGGGCGGACCTGTTCCAGGGGAACTGCAGGACTCCAGGGAGAGGCAGCTCTCCTGCCAGCTCGGCCTTATGCAGGGGGTGCTGGTGATGTGGCCGATTTCCCTTTTTGGCATGGCTGCCAGTGAGCCCAGGCTGAGTTAAGACAACAGTAAATCCTATGGGCCCAGCCCAGATCTCCATATGCCAGTCTCCCCATCCCGTTTCTGTGAGGGTGACTAGTTCTGAAGAGCACTAACCGCTGATGAGGCCCAAGCCCCTCGGAGCAGCCCCACACAGCTGCCACCTTCTCGTCACCCATGATTTGAGGAGGCGGTGGGGCCCAGAGAGCTGATGTGGCCTGCCCCAAAGGCAGGAGAGAGAGGCCGGGCCCAGTCTGCCCCAGAAACCACGTCTTTCTCCACTCCCCTGCCAGGGCTGGGGAGTAGACAGGACACCTTGGCCTCTGGCCAGGGTCACAGTGAAGGGCCGAACTTGGATGTCAAATTCTGTAGGGCAGCAGCATACACCCACTCGCTACTGGGTTTCCACTGGTACCCTGACAGACGGTAGGAACTGGGATGGGGCAGCAGAGAGCGATGGGGACTGGGGCAGTGTATGCCACCTCCCCAGAGAAAGCACACACTGCTCAGCTTACACCGTCCACGACATACAGACGAGCCAGAGCACACCCCCACTTTGGCTTTTGAAAGGATGACTTCCCCCAGCTGGGGGTGCTGCCTCTAGTATCTTTCACCTGAAGGCCATGTATCCCCCTCCATGTCCCACCAGCTCCTGACTCTAGCTCCTCATGGTGTGGACAGGCTCAGGCGACAGGTGTCCAAAGGCTGCCCTGCCCTGTCCACTCACCCGCACGGGCCGTCCGGCCGACTCGGTGGATATAAATCTTTGGGAGCCCAGGGGTGTTGTGGTTGATGACCACCTGCACAGTGGGAATGTCCAGGCCCCTGGAGGCAAAGGTCAGTTAGTGCTGCTGTCCACATGGGGAAACAGGTTGGGACTCACCCAAAGTCGCTCAGCAGCAAAGTCACCCAACCCTTGCCTGAGGCCAGCCTGCCCCTCTGACCCCTCTGTCACCAGGGTGGCACACAGGAGGGGGTACCCTGGGGCCGCTCACCGTGAGGCCACATCTGTCGCAATCAGGATCCTGCAGATACTGGACTTGAACTTGGCCAGGGCAGCAAAGCGTTCTTTCTGCACAGGGTTGGGAGAGAATTGGGGGGCCAGGGGTCAGGTAACATCTCAGCAAATGTTTGAGTGCTCACTGTGTGAAGCCTGGGGACAGGACAGGGACCAAGACAGTCCCCACCGTCAGGGGATCACAGTCCAGCAAGGGAGATGGAGATGGCCAGGAGAAGGCCAGACTGAGGCAGATGGGTGGCAGGAAGAATGTTCCAGGCAGAGGGAAGAGCCCGGGCACCCGCTCCCAGGCTGGCAGGCGATGGGGTTCCTGGAGCAGCCTGAGGCCGCACCTGTTTCATCATGGAATGCAGAGCCACAGCGGGGAAGTTGAATTTACGCAGCAACATGCACAGGATCTGGCAGGTCCTAGTGGGAAGGATATGCTGTCAGCCCCTTCAGCTCCAGGGTCCTGGGAAGGTACTCCTGCCCCCGCCCACCCCTAAGACTCCAAGCAGGTGGCCCTGTACAGCTGGGAAAGGAGCAGCAGGGGTGTGGGGTGTCCTGCATTTGGGCAGCCTCTCTGCTGACCCCTCCCCTGGCCTAAGCCAGTGAGAGTCAGCCCTACATCCAGTCTTTCCTGGTAGTTACTAAATTCTTAGAAAGTAGCAGCCAGTTAGGATGTGATGCGGGCTGCCCTTCCACTCTGGCTTATGCTAGAATAGCCTGTAGCTTGTTGACAATCTCCCCAAATGCTTCAGACATTTTGAAGTCCCCTGGGACTATGGACAGGCCAGCCCCAGGTGGTGGTGGTAATGCACTGTGCCTTAGTGACACCCCTAGACCACAGTAAACAGACTGTTTCATGACCTTCCCGGCCACTACAGGGGGTTCCTGGGACAGTCTGAGGCCCCAGGCCCCTTCAACTAAGGGTGGGTCTGGAGGAACCGCAAATTTTAGCTCTGCCTTCAGGAAGGATGACCTCAGCAAATTACTTGGCCTCTCTGAGCATCTTTGAGCAGATCCTTTGAAACCTCTGGTCTGAGCAGAGGCCCCGGGGTGCTGAGACCAGTCATGTGCCTCACTCCTGCGACCTGAGGCCACCTCTCGGCCTTCCATAAAGGGCTGTGGGAGGGGCCCTGAGGGACAAGAGGCAGGCCCACCTGTACTCACTTGCATGTGTTAGTGAAGATGATGATGGACCAGTCCTCGTGCTCATCCTGGAAGTTCTGGATTAGGTGAACCAGGTAGGCATCCTTGACCTTCTCGGGCACCAGCAGGTAGCGCTGGTCCAGCTGTTCCACTGTGCGCACCCTGGGAACCAGCAGGCCTCAGTTTCCCCTGCTGCTGAATGGGGCCAATGCCCCACCCTGCCCACAGGAAACACCCTGTCCCCACACCCCTGCTCCCCCTGGAACATGACTGTAGACGCACGGAGCCTGAGCTTCCCAGAAGAAGGGCTGGTTAGCAGCCAGGCCCCGAAGCTCCCGGAGTGTGTCAGTCAGAGTGGCGCTGAAGAGCAGCGTCTGCCTGCGGGCTGGCACAGCTGCCAGGATGGCCTCCAGGTCCACAGTGAAGTCAGTGCAGCCCTGCTCCAGGAGCCGGTCGGCCTCATCCATCACCTGCAGCACCAGTGGTGAAGTGTAGAGACAGGGGATCTGGGTAAGGGTCCAACTGGGCCACACACCCAGGCCTGGCCCACTTCCCCAAGTGCCTCCTT